TCTATCTATCTATCTATCTATCTATCTATAAGAAGAATTTGATCAAAGACTCATGAGGGCAAGTATAAAAGACAAAAGCACTTGTTTCATAGGAAACTCACTGGTGACATTTGAGATCTCACCATACAAATCCATCATACATAAAGGAAAAGTAATGAAAGACTATGAAAGTTATCAGTATTTATGTGTATATGTATATTTTCTAGTTCATCTATTATATATAGATATATATATCTCATAGATGGTATATATGATATCTATATATATGTCAGATGAATTAGAAAACATACATATATATGTATACATTTTGGTTATTAATTAGGAAATCAGTTTCTTCATCTTTTAGACATGCCCTGATGAGTCTTTGACCAAATTCATGATTTCTGGCACAATTTGATGCCCCAGGCTCAACGAATCTTACCTTATCCCAGCTCTGAAATTGGCTGTGTCTCCTTCTAGTGGTCAGAGTTATTGAAAAACCAGGATAGGGCTCATAGAGTTGCTTGTGCTCAGAAATAACATTTCTATTTTCTTAGGAGAGAGGGATATAAAATTAACTTTTATGAAAAAGATCATTTTTTCACAATAATACTCAGTTCAAATTTAATGCTCCACATTATACAGCTTCTTTTACTTTTGTGATTTTAATATTAATATAACTTTTGGATTATCTGATGCTTTTCCATCTTGCTCATCTGCAGGTGGAATGTCATCCTTACCTCAACCAGAGAAAACTGCTGGATTTCTGCAAGTCCAAAGACATTGTTCTGGTGGCCTATAGTGCTCTGGGATCCCATCGAGAAAAACAATGGTAATAAGAGCAACAGGAAGTTTACGTAAAACAATGTTTTGATTTTAAAAAATTTAATGAGCTCATGTTGTTTCCTGGAGTTCACTGACAGCTGACTTGGGATGAGGGAAGAATTTGCTTTTCTGACAAGATCCCAAGTGATGTTGAGGTTGCTGTTCAGGGGCCTCACTTGAGAAGCTCTGGTGCAGAGTGGACGCCTTAGTCTGTTTACGGAGCCACCTAACAAACTGTATCCGCAGCCTCAGGGCTTAAGCATTTCCGCCTTTCTTTCCAGGGTGGACCA